GGAAAAGGCATTTCAAAATTAAACAGGAAACCAAAACTAAGATCATGACAATTGTGATGTGTTCAAGCTCTATGTTGTCCCTGTGACTATAATTAGTAACAGCTGGCCTGCTAATGGGTTATGATACACATTCTGGTTATCTTTAAGAAAGGACTGTAGTTCAGCCTAAAGTTAGTACCTGAGGTTGAAGTGTTGGGTCACTGACAACGCTGCCCTATTTGACACCTTGGGAGTGAAAACTGTTTTTTTTTAATATATCTGTTTCTATAATCTGTAATCCGGATTAAAACCTGAGAAGTGTAACATATGTTTCTAAATGTTGGATTTGGGCTGAAAACCCCCTGCTTGTAACTCATCCTTTAATCCGTGCAGGCCTTTAGTGACATGCTGTCTGGTGGGGTTTGGTGACAGGTTAGTGTGTGTGTGTGTGTGTGTGTGTGTGTGTGTGTGTGTGTGTGTGTGTGTGTGTGTGTGTGTGTGACACATTCCATCCAGGTGAGTTAACAGGCTGTTTGAAGAGCAGGTCTCATGTATTGTATCCTCAGTGATCCAGGGAAACACCGGGACAATGCTGTGTTTTATCCTGCGGGACAAAGACTGCACCGCCCTTCTGGACAACTTGAGAAGTCTGGTGTATTCACTCTGACCTAAAACAGTGAGGGGATTATTGTGAGAAAGAGAGTAACAGGAACCCTTTAAGAGACACAAAGTAGGGAAGCCTGTGAAAATACTTCTTTAAACATTGGTTTAAAATAAAGTAGATTCCTCAACCTTTAAGTGAAAACTACACAAATGAGATTTAAATTGAAAACGTCTTTCATCCAAGGACTGCTATAATGTCATTAAGGGAAAATGTCAACGTCTGTCATCTTATTTATATTTTTACATGTCTCAAAAGTCAGTTTGTGGACCTTTTCTTTTGCTTAGAATAGAAATCCTTTTTTGATCCGAAATTGTTTACATGTTTTAACATAGGAGTAACTTGAGAGAAATATAATAAAATACAAAATAGACAAATATGGTGAATAGATACAATATCAATAGTATATATAATATCAATAATATATACATAATCGGATAGAATACACTGTAATAGACCAACTTACTACAACACATATATATTATATACATAGGACACCTAACATAACCCAAGTGAGATATTTTGACTCTACTTGAATATAGTAAGGTACATTTGTTTCTGACTCCTGAGTTGAATTTGTGTTGTTTTCAAACTCCTAGGAACAAAAGTCTAAATGCAGGGTGTTCAGTTTTGAGAACACTGTGTCTTTGAAGGGGACTTTACGAAGGATTACAGAGCACAACAGTCACGCTGAGCTTTGTACAGCTGCTGCGATCCCACAGCCTCAGACCTTACACACAGGTGGGAAGGAATTCAACACCGAGGATGTCACTTACAGACACAGGTGTGTGTGTGTGTGTGTGTGTGTGTGTGTGTGGTGTGTGTGTGTGTGTGTGTGTGTGTGTGTGTGTGTGTGTGTGTGTGTGAGGGTGTGTGTGTGAATGCCTTACTTCAGGTGTTTCCCAGCAAAGTGTCAGAGAAAGAGAAGTTCCCATACATGAGTCTGTCATTTAGGAAGAACTGTACATGATGGCTGTTATTGGTTTAAATGTATAATATACATTATTATTATATTTCATATCTTTATTTCTCAACAATATAGTATAAAAGGAACCCAGAAATGGTTTTTTTTCTTACTTTGCACAAGTTATTATGACTTAAATATCATGTTATGTGACCCTTTGTCAAATTGAAGTTTGAGTGTTCAATAAGGAATTCATTTATTGTTTTGTCCGACCATGGAAAGTATAGCCAAACAAATAGCAAGAAAATAAAACATAAGCAGTTACAGTATTTGTCTTAAAAAACATAATATGATGCTGAATGGTCAAAACTAAGGCTTAATATCAGTTTTTGATGTCTGTTTTAGGCCTACTGAATCAAAACATATATGTAAATTAAATATATAATTCTCTGAACGCCTTTTAAATTCCAGAAAACCATGCTGGACCAATAACTGCACTCTGTCTTGGAAATCTCTGAACCACAAACTGTGTTTATGTTTCTGTAGCCTCTAAATAAGATAACTAAAGACACTGCTAAAGCAAGATAGCATTGCACGCTAGCTGCTAGCATAGCCACTTCTACCCTTAGCTTAAGCTACTACTTACCTATGGATGTTTACCTTTTTTTATCCATAACTGTAAACATATATACATTTTAAGGGAATTATATCTAAGTTAAATTAGTAATTGCCAACAATTAAATGACCCAGAAGCTAAATACAATCACGATGAACAAAAATGTTCCAGCTAATGCTAAACTCTGGCTAAAGCTAATGGTTTAAATGAGAAACATCCCAGCTTTTGACTTAAGTGGAATTCATGTAATTTGGTGTAACATATATAACTGTCACCTTTTGAAATGTAATATATAATTGATAAATGTTTAAGTTATTAAAGTACATACAAAAACAAGTTAAAATGGAGAATATGGTGACAGTTTCTAGGTATTGATATTTCCACTTGCATCCTCGAAATAAAAAAATGCAGACAAACACATAAGAGCCACCTTGGTGTGAAACTGCCTTCAAAAAACTAAATCTTTTGAACCGTGCACTTAAAGCAAAGAGAACACAGCTCTGCATGTCACACATTAAACAAAAACAAAGCAAGCCACACATTATTGATCACTTAGACTACGGAGTGGCACGTCTCCGATTGTTTTTCAACATCACAGCGGATCAATACGGAGGAGTGCTTGGAGAGTACAGAAGGATAAATGATGCCTTCTCTGTTTAGAGACTCGGGGAAATTGACATACTAGGTTGGAGGAGGCCTGTGTCGATAGATATTGTCTTCCCCTTCAGATTGATCATCAGTATGGATGTGCTGCCATGTAGGGGGAAAGTGCCAATAAAAGTGTGATTTATACTTTGTCACATTTATTGTCAAAAAACTATTTTGGGAAAATGGGGTTTGGCATCCAGAAGCATCCATTTCAGAAGAGTCTGACACTGAAGGCTCATTATGGGATAACACCAACATGGCGCTATGAATCATATCTGAAATTCAGTACATCAAGCACAATGGCAGGTTATAGGTTATATTTGAGCTGATACTGTATGGTTGTATCAATGATTTAACCAAATAAACCACCATATGATCCAAACTTTTTGATAGCTAAGCCTCCGCGGGATACAAACAAAATCTAGGTTTCACCAGCTAGTCCGTCCATAGTAAGCCTACTCGATATTAATTAATTAAAATATGTTATTTAAAGGTGACCCACGCACAAAACACATATTTAGCATATCTCCGACTAGTTTTGGTTATCTTCTCAACTAAAGCTCTGTTGATTTAACGGTCTATTTCTTTGATTGTTTTTCTGCTGCAGAGAGGCTTCATATATGATTATATTTACATATCAAAATGGGTAACCAATCAATTTGATGCCTACAATTTTAATAATCTGCCAATTAGGAACAACCCCTAATAACTCTTTTTTTTTCAAACTCAATGAAACCCTAAAGCTTGTAAAGACCCCAAAAAGGGCACAATGTTCAAACAATGGGATTAAAATATGACATCTATCTTATTTGATGTTTCATTTGAGCTTTCCTGTAGGTCTACTGTGTTACTATACCATTAAGGCACTTGAGGGGGTATTTTATCTGACATATTGGGATGTTATGGCTCATTATTAAATAAAAAAAGCACAGACTGTTGCACATTCATAAAACAAGGTTGCATTTAGGGTTTTCATTTGCACCTCTGGTACAGTAGTGTCACGAGGAGGGAGGTATCCGGACATTTTATCTGCCTGCGTCATTGCATTTCTGAAAATACAATATCTGTCCTTTGGCTTTGTTGGCAAAAACTCAGGAACAAATGGGTAGATTTCAAGGATATATATTTACACGTGTTAAATCAGCTAATGTCTCATACGACAGCTAAATATATTTATTAACTAAAATATTGTGAATCTTTTGTTTTGGTTTTACTGTTTAGGTGGTCTGGATTACTGCATGTTTATAAATTAACTGCACATTCACTGGAGCTGATGACACCTGTCTGTCCCTGTTGGGCAGCAGTGTAAAGGTTAAATGTGTGTGTTAAAGCTGTCTCCGTGGGGGTGTGTGGTCAGGAGGGCTCACAGACAGCAGGTGGAGCTCAGAGAGGCAGCGGATGAGGTGATTTAAACGGGAAATTAGAGGAAATTGCATCCTCAGTCCGCAATCAAAAACTCATATCCCCTCTTTATTTCGTTTTGTTCCAGATATTTTCCAGTGTATTCAAGTAATGGCTTTATTCAGTGGTGAAATGTAACTTAAGTACATTTACTACTAGTACTTAAGTAAATGTACTTAACTAAACTTTAGTACGAATTTGAGGCACTTATTTCTGCTCCACTATATTTAAAAGGGAAGTAATGTAATTTAACTCCAGGACAAGTATTTAACTGCTTTAGTTCATTATTACAAAATGCATCCATACATTAAACTAGTGGGAGAACTCTTTAAATGACAAAAAAGTAAAATTATTTAAATATTTTACAAAACGTCCATCAGAACTTTGAACAGTAAAATGCTACTTGATGTAACAATGTTATTTAGAAATGTCACATATATAAATATAGTTATATACACAAATAAAGGCACATTTTCTTCACAATGTGACTTTTATACTTTAAGTACATTGTGCTGATAATATGTTTGTACTTTTACCTATAAGATTTTGAATGCAGGACTTTTACTTGCAATTAAGTATTTTGACACTCAAGTAAAATGTATCAATATTTCTTCCACCTCTGGTCAAATGTCCCTAAAATAATTATAACGTGATTTTTACGAGTTTCTATCAGTCTGAAGACAGTGCTAATTGAGCTGAGGATGGAAGGGGCGTGTGCTTTATAAACAGGGCGTGGATTTTACGCACTAACAGGAGGGGGTGTTGAGTGTTTTCCTGTCAGGCAGCTGCCAAGGAGCGCACAGGAGGCACAAATACACCCAGAGACACTTTCAGCTTTTGCTCAAGTTGTTGAAAAAGAAACTCCGATGACGAACAGACGATGAGAGAGGAAGTCAAGGTACGAGAGATAGGCGGAGGAATAGGGCTTTTTTACGCGCTCGTGGCAAGTTTGACAGTGGCACCAACGCGGTGATTTCTTTAAATTAAAAAGCGTCCTCAGTTTGAGTGACTATTTAAAGTATGACGTCCTTTGATGAGGCATGTTTCCTGCGTTGTGTCCTCATGCCCAGGATTGCGACTCATGGGATGTAGTAAATGGAGAGCCGCGCTCAACCTCGGACACCTGAGGGTGCAGTCCAAGCTGTCCGTCTTCTTTACCATGATCATCCTCTTCACTTACCTTTTTTACTGCCTCAATGGATACTGTGACTCCTTACCCAGGCCTGTATATGACCAACAAAGTAATCATCAGAATAAAATCACTTTAAACGATGGAGCGTCCCAGCAGGAGAAAATTACGCACAACGCGTCTCAGGTTTTCCGCGAGCAGATGTCGGACTTCAGCGATGGTTCCTCTGATAATATCTCTATAGCTAATACCTTTGGGAGCAAAAAGTTCCCCCAGGCCATCATCATAGGAGTGAAGAAAGGTGGCACCCGGGCTCTGCTGGAGTTTCTGCGGATTCATCCGGACGTGAGAGCCGTGGGATCCGAGCCGCACTTCTTCGACCGCTTCTATGATAAGGGACTGGACTGGTACAGGTGAGCAGGTTTTTTAACTTAATGATACAGAGTTAAATGTTATGGTGAAATAAAGACGTTATTTGGTGTTTTCAAACGGGGAAATGACCGGAATAGAAAGGGACTGTAAGGGTCAAAGTTCAGGGCAGAAGTCATTAAAGCCTGATTAGAGTTGGAGCTGTTTACTATCACTTTCACATGAAGGAAAACGTCTGGTTATTTAAGTCAGAGAATTGATTTGTATTTCGTTAGAACACGTGTGAAAACGTAGAGCTCATTTATCTATGTATTGAGCAGCTTCCTTGAAGGGTTTAAAGAATAAAAAGAGGTGTTGATTTAATATAAAAGAATAAAACATGTATATTATTCCTGTGATAGGCTACATTGCATTATACCTAACGTGTAAATAAGCTCTAGTTGAATCAAGTTATACAACCACAGGTGCCAAAAAAAGTCCCTGTTTTTCTCCAGATTCTTCCAATGTATAATACTGTACATTTGCTCTATATCTCTCTCTACATAGTTACACATTAAGTGTTTTCAGTACACTTAACACTCATATGATTTTGTCGACAGATCTGTACAAATTAGTTTCTCTGTAGAGAATCTTGTAAAAGCACTTGTGTTTACTATAAATGGAAACATTGTAATTAAGTAGTTGAATATTAAAAAAGCCTAAAAACTGACATATCGACTAAAGAAATCTTAGTTTGCTGGGATGTGTGATCCGGCTGATGTTCACTAAGCTCAATTTGATTGTGTGTCTTTGGAATCTGTCTGAGCCTTAAGCTTTAAAGTCAGTTATAAACAATATTTTAATAAGTGATACATTATAAGGACTTTGAAAGTTGTACAATTATGGACTTTTTACTGCCGGTTTTTTCATGCTTTTGTCACTAATCACTAAACAATATTAAATAAATGCTTTACGTGGCATTTGAGTATACTGTCATCAGATTATCATCATGTATTTTGTCTTATGGGGGTTTTCCTGCTGCATGCAAGCTCAATCTGGGACTTTACAGTCAAGTCTAATTTCTATTTTGACTTTACAAATCACTTTATACATTTTGAGGCAAAAAAACCCAGAATTAAACATTAAGAAATAACATTTTGAGCTGGTTTTTTTTGTAGTTTTGTTCTCGAATCGTCAAAAAATTGTGTTAAAATTGCCATTACCATTTCCCAGAATCCACGATAAAGTCTCCAAATCTATTTTCTTTATCTGAACAGCTGAATCACCTCAAACATACACAGTTTACTGGCATTCACATGAGCTGCCGTCTGTTAATCGTGTACTTTCTCTTATCAACACATTAGTGACTGAGCATGATGTAATATCAACAGAGCAGTTTCAAAAACACTCCACTTATTAGTCGATGTGCGGCTTGTTTTTTTGTGCATGCAAACACATATTTTCATGCGTGCTGTGATCAATCCCTCTCCTCTCTTCATTAATGTCCCTCAGCACCAATAAGAGGCTCTGCTGATAGCTTCCAAGGATGGCAGCGTATTCAGTCCCCTGCCAATAAATTGCTGTTTATTGAGCTGACACGCTGCCTCCCTAAGTGTCCCTGCTGGTCCCCTGAGGGCCGGAGGAGGGTGGGGTTGTTGTGGATGGAGGCAGTAAGGATGACCCCCTCAGTCAGGTGTTAGCTCGAGGATGAGCTGAAGATTGACAGCAATATCTGTCTCGTCAATATTTTAATTTTTCCCATATCGTCCTCGGGATTGCAGAGGGACACTGTAATCGTTGTAATTTTCTCACACATGATATCAATCTTGGGATATCAGCATGCATCCATCGTTGTTTACATGCATAAACAGACAAATAAAAGCGGTTTAAAATATGTTTTCTAGTCGTAGTCTTAAGCTTGTTCCTTGAAAGCTCAAACAAATTCAAAGACTTGTTTTAATGTTATGGGTAAAATGATTCCAATTGATGTTAAGCCAAAATAGGCTTTCTTTTTTTCTATTGTCAAAAATAACCTATATTTTTATTCCATAAACAGATGGATAAAAAGGCTGTAAAATATTTGTATATGGGAAGAAGTGTTTTTTAGGAACCTTTATATTGTGTGTGCCTGATAGCCCAGAGATGAGAGAAAGAGAGACAGAGACGGAGGGACAAGGAGAAACCATTACACAGGAAGACTGATGTGTGGAGTAAATGACGGTTTGATAAAGAGACAAGTAGAAGGGAGTGGAGGAACATGGAGGTGTGGCGGAGAAATGTGGCGTGAGAGAAGACGGAGAGATGCAGGAGAGATCAATACAGCCGTGTAATGATCGGTGCTCTGGCTCAGGTGGAACAGCACTAAGTGACACCAGACATCAAAGTGTGTGTGTGTGTGTGTGTGTGTGTGTGTGTGTGTGTGTGTGGTGTGTGTGTGTGTGTGTGTGTGTGTGTTGTGTGTGTGTGTGTGTGTGTGTGTGTGTGTGTGTGTGTGTGTGTGTGGGTTTGCAATACTCAGTAGCTGTTTCAGAGGAATAGGTCAGGGTTTTCCTGCTGCATGCAAGCTATTTCAACATGTCTGATATATAGGATGATACAGTTATGAGTCACAAATTCATTTTGACTTTACACACGACTAAAACTGAAGCCCCTGCAATAGTTTCAACACAGATATGCACATTGTGCAAGTTAAACAACTGTTTGCAATCTGTATTCAGAGAAAATGCAAGTACAGGACGAAGCATTCATGAAACAATTTGAATTTTAGCTGTTTCTGTCCACACAATTGTGGAAAAATGCCCATTATCATTTCCCAGAATCCAAGATGACGTCTCCAAATGTCTTTTCTTTATCCCAACATTACCCCATAACCCCAAATGATCCAGTTAATATCAAGCAATCAGTAAATCCTTACATTTGAGACATCAAAACTGGAGTATGTTTGGCATTTTGCTGGTAGAATAAGGAAAATGATTCATAGATTTTCAAAGTAATACATTTTCTGTGGAGCAACTAATCAAATATTTTACAGGTGGTTTCAACTGTTATAGGTTAACTGTCTGGCTATTAGTATTACATTATTTGTACTTACATTTTAATCTGACAGGTCATTTACAGAAAATTAACTCTTTCACCAAACGCTCTTCAGTAAAATAATTCCAGTCATAACCTCTGAATCTTGTCAGCACCAGTAAGTCAATTTAGTTATACTAGCGGAAAATCATGATGGCTTGCTTTTCCACTCTACATCGGAAATAACACTGCAGAATTTTTTTATAGTACTTTTGGTGTTTAACTACATAGGAACTGTTTCTTTAAATAGAAAAAACATATGATATTTGGTGAGAAAAGTGCAGGTAAAACGTAATGTTTGATGGGATTCATTTTCATCTGAATGAAGCAATTTATCTAAGTGTTGACAAAGCTGAACATAACACTAGAAAGGGTTAAAAGTGCGGGAAACAGCGACCTTTCTTCGCTTCTTTCACTGCTTCTGTTGATGGTAAACTGACTTTATACTTCTAACTCTTTTTGTGTGTGACTCAGACATGACGTGATCACCTTTCTTTTTTCCCTTCCTCTCCTCTTATCTTAATGAAATGTGTTTCTGCTCCGTCCTGATCGACTGACAGCTCGTTTCAACACCGTGTGAATTGGACCGGTGTAATGACAGGTCAGGCATTAACATGGACAGCTCAGGGACATGCGGAGTGGCTGAGAGGGATTAGGCCCCCAGTCGCAGTTAAACAAGGCTTTATGAAGCATTAGTCAACACCCCCGCCCCGCCACCCCTCACCTCGTAACACTGGAGCATGATGAACGCTTCAGTGTTCCTACACCTCCATCTTTACTGCTGTAGGAGAAGGTTATTGTGCCCAGGGGCTGTGTAGTTTCTCTGGCCTACAGACAAGCAATAAGACTTACTGGGATTTTTTATTTTTATACGAGACAGATGTAAATGTTCAAAGCAACTAATCTATCGTCCAGGAGGCACTTCTTCTGCACATGCACTTCACCAGGAAACATTGGGCGACGCTCAACTTATTTGAACAAAAAGAAATTGTGATGTAATATGAAATGTAACACAGACTGACCATTTTAGCAAGAGCTGTAAAACGACATATGTTAACGTTCAGGTGCCAAAGACCTCGAGCTGTGAAGGTATTGTGACCCTCGTATGAAGTCAAGTTGGATCAACGGCTCGACAAAACGTCTTCATATGCAGCATCGTTATTTTTTACCGTTTCTTTCGGACTGTCAACTTTTTTAATTCCTTTTAACCATGACAAGGACCGTTCCCTGTCCTTAGCCACATGTGTATTACTGTAGCCATGACTCCGAAGGTCCCGTAACCTTATCAAAGGAGCAATTATAACCCACAATATTTCCCTGAGGCTGAATTATACTTGGTTTGAACAACATGTTTTCCTGCGTCCTTCTCGACCGTTGGTTGCGTTGGTCTATATTAACGTGACGTAATGGCAGATTAAAAATAAAGTATTTCGGTATTTTTCAACAGTAACTGGAAATATTATATTGTCAGAAAAGCACCTATGTGTTGTTCTACAGGGCAGTAATACACTACATTAGCTTGCTTGCTAAAACTAGTTAGCAACGAAGGAGGAAGTTAGCAACGAAGCTAAAAAAGCTAGCTACATTTTTTGTATAAATGCTTGAAATAGAAAGCTACAAGTAATGGATACGTTTTTCATTTCTTGCCTTTCTTTTGTCTCCCATACGTCAGTTCCATCATCACATATATTTCTGAAAATATTATATTTTTAATGTTACAATCTTTGATGTATCAATTAAGCATTGACCCAATATGACTTATGAAGGATCAGTAAACTCATACTGTCCTTTCTTCTTCCTCTTTCTGCTTTCTATTCCCTGTATTTCTTCCAGATATCATATGTAGGCTAGTTATATAAATATTATGTGAAATTGCATGTTAAGTACCCCGTGATCCACACATATCAATTTGAAACAGAACCGTCATATGTGAAGCCAACAAAATCATCTGAAACCGGGCTGCAAAGTATCACTTAAACTTTCATTCTCTGAC